TTAGCCAGTGATGCAAACACAGGTTCTGTTGCAAAAGCTAATGTTTCTCTCGATTCTTCAAGAGGATGCTGGACTGTCAAGACCTAAAAATTGTAATGTAAAACAGGGTGGTTTTAGCATACGAAGAACTTCAATTTGTCTTATTTCACTATAATTATTTATCCAGTTTGCAACTGCATTTGCAGAGAGAATTAGATAGAAGTAACTTTTCATAAAAGAGACACACAAATTTGTCTTTTATAACAACCCATAAACCCCATTTCCTTACTGGATAAAAGCCTTTACACGTGAGAAACTCATTAACCATACCTGGGGATGTCTCAGCCTTGTCAACTGAGAGACGCCTTTTCTCAGCTTATCCAGCATGGCCTCCCTCTCCTGTTTATCCCACTTGTCCAACTGACGTTTCTCAAACAGAAATATGGCAGCATCCTGCTTTGTGGACTTTTTGTAACCCTTGTAAATCTTCCAAACCAAGCCTGGAATGATATATAGCGCATAGAGGAGTGTCTTTTACTAACCATATATGCGAATGAGTTTTCTGAGACCTTTATTTCCATTATTGCTAAGATGTGTAGGTGTAAATAAAATAATTTAAGTAATATCTGGCAAGGTCTCCAAGGTACATTACAAAGAAATTAAAAGATTCATTTTTCTAGAAAAAGGATTCTAAATCTTTTGTTGACATCATCTACAATAGATCGCAAATCCTAGAAGATATTGTCATAATACCAATAATTTCCCCCTAAAATTAAAAAAAGTTTATCAATGGAAAAAAAAATCTAAAATAAATAAATATATAAATAAATAAATAAATAATAATAATAACAATAATAGAAATAACAATAATAACAATAATAATAACAACAATAACAACAACAACAACAACAACAACAACAACAACAACAACAACAACAACAACAACAACAACAACAATAATAATAATAATAATAATAATAATAATAATAATAATAATAATAATAATAATAATAATAATAATAATAATGGACATGAAATGAAGAAATTAGGGATGCTGCAATATCTAAGACCTCTGGTTGTGGTCTGCTATTGCAGCTCATTAACCAAGATATAACATTAATCTTGTGAATAAAAGAAATAATAATAATGATGATGATGATAATGATACTAACCTGGTCCAGCAGAGGCAATGTGCTGAGTGGCTTCAAATTCTCTCGTCACAGGGTTTCCAGGCAGGTAATTGGACACTTGTGAAGCAATCTGTACAGCGTTTGAAACTGCACTGTTGGCCGCACTGCTGACTGTAGAGCGGAGTTTGTTCAGCATGGACTCCATCCTGAAAATTAATTACTGTCAGCTAATACAATAGAAAATCACTGTATTTCATACCGGGAAAAAAACATCTCTTACTGTCATTTCACACGCTACTTGAGGATAAAAAATAATTCATTGATTGATAATACAACTGAAATTAACTATACTGGACATAGCAGATCCAAAACTAAAAGTAAAGCTTATAACAACAAATCTACAAAAAAAGATGCTATATATGAAAGCCAAAGATAAAAAAATAAATAAATAAATAAAAACGTCTATCAAATACCAATAGTCAACACTGGGCGGACGAAACAGCAAGCCAATAATAAAAGCAAGACTGACAAAGGAATTAACATACAAGTGGAAACAAGCGTAAAGGAGAGAGAATGCCAAAGAGGGAAAGAAAACTTGGAAAACAAAAGCTTCAATTGAAACATGGGAAAAGAGAAGCTCAAGTAACGTAAGATAAACAAATAAAACAAGAAAGTAAAATGCATGCCATAACAAACACTTACATACAGATAAAAAAAGAGAGAAAAAAATCACTCAAGATTATCAGAAAATATTCACATTAGCTCTGTCATATACAAATGTCAATAATTAAAAAGCTGTAAGAGGCAATACAATACAATAAACAAGTTTCCTAAGTTCCAGGACAATGATGATAAGAGCACAACTAAATTCCCAATTAATCTGTTTTAAGTCTCCTGCCCCCCACCCCCCACCCTCTCTATAAACATGAAGATCCTTCCATAGCTGGATTAACTCCCATTAGTATTACTTTGGCAAAAAGTTTGTAGCCTTTTCAATGTCATTCATAATACATAACTCCAAGTACCAATATAACCTATTCACAAAATGGGTAACAATGTGGATATAAACAATGGTAAATCAATGAGTTAAAACAAGTACATAAATGTATATGTCTAATTGACATAAGGGTACAGCCCCACTGAATCTAGCACAAGCAGCTTGCTCCATAATTTAACATTTACCCATCAACCCTACAATGACGGATGGATACAGCTATAGCCATCTTGAAACACAGCACAGACTCAGCCGCAAAGTCTAGACTATTGCATAATATCATATCACAAAAAATTCAAACCCCTTGATGATACAGTCAAAAGCAACAAATTACATTATTTAGTCATTTGCAATATATACATCTGCTTTAGACATTAAACCTAAAATGCAAACATATTGATTACTTGTACCTTGCAAAAACATATACAGTATTATCAGAAGTATATCATTTTCAAAAACATATATGGTATTATCTATTAATGTTATGAATCAGAAGAATTTTATTTTCAAAAACATATACAGTATTATCAGAAGTATATCATTTTCAAAAACACCTCTGATTTATTTAACTGTGAGCCATGGAGCTAAAGCTCAACTACTCCCTCTATGAATTGTCTGTCTTTGCTTTCCAGTGGGACCTAATCATAAGAAATAGACACGAGTAAAAATGGACAAAAAAAAACTTTCAAATTTGGTTAGGTCTTCTTTGTATCAAGCATGAAATAGAAAATTTAGAGACATGCTGTGTTTATGACAAAAAAATCTACTTTCTTAACATATTCATATTTGATTACTGAATTATTAGCCACACTAGAAATGCAAAACACAAAGACCGCACTAAAATTTCTATGCAAAGGACAGGAGCACTATATGTGGCAATGGTGGCTGACCAACTGCTAGATATTAACTTTTAGCATAGTTACCCAAATAAACTCCTACTTTACAAAATTAGTTCCTACTTCATAAGTCACTGCCTTGAAGCTGAATTGAATGAAAAAGATGCCAACAATATTGACAATTCACTTCCATCCATTTCCACACAGGCCTAATCACACAAGCCTTGCTGCTTATTGACGAGTACAGTGAGTGCACCTTCTACTGTATTTACTTTCCTGGAGATTACCTTTCTCTGTGCATTATGTCTCAAGAAGTATTACAAACTTTGATGTACTTCAAATCCCTGTGTGAATACTAACAACCAAAAGTAGAACATTTTCCTGCTTTTAAATCACTTTTGGATATGAAAGAATAGATCAGCAATTAAATGGCTGATGAATTACAGGAAGCCCCTAGTCACTGCTACCAGAGCCTCAAGCAATATGACAACAATAAAAAATATACCTTACATATCAGAGGAAAGAAGAATAAATATACAAAATCACTTTTCCTTCGAAATACCCCTGGTAGCCTTAATACCATACAAAAACAAATAAATACAGATATGCAAGACTTGACCAGGTCTCTTTATCTTTCAACAATAACAAACTGCTTATTAGAAATCTGCCAAATTCATTTACTTTTTTCACTGTAAAAACACCTTCACCCGAGCAAAATCCACGAGAAACATAAGGCAACATTTTCCCATTTACAAAGCACAACAGTAATCTCGACACATTTTTCCAATAAGTTTATATTTTCATTCCATTACAGGTTTTATTTTCAAATGTTGTACTTACACTTTCCGGTCCATTTTGCTTTCCCTGTGACATGTAAGAGGTGGACACTAGTAATTGTAGCACAAGGGTGGTGGTCACTGCCTTTGCTCTGACTGTGGTTGTAAAGTGTTAGTATAAATCTGTTAGATGTTAGAATAGACACACCGTAAAAGAAAATCATAAAGGAAAAGTAATAAACACAAGGTCTTGACTCACTCATTCACAAGGTTAAATCAAAGGCTAATCTTTTGTACCATATTTTTTTCTACTCTAGATCCTTTTTGGATAATGTAAATCTTGTAGATTTTTTCTTTTGGTTTTCCTATGAGAAATCTCATTCAATAAGATTACAAATCTACATTTTTTCTTGGTCACTTATTGGAATGTTCCATATTCTTATCACATACAGTATCAAAACCACATATATTCACTTCCTTGTATACCTATTCATCTTTAATACCTTTTCATATATTTCTTGGACACAGAAATTCAAACTAAAGTAACAATCTCACAATTAATGACCAAAACGCTATTAACCTTGAAAATGAATGTAATGCAAGGTCTCACAAATAATTCAGGGTCTGTTAAATTTTCTAAAGCATTTCCCCTGCACACGTGGCAGGAAGAGACCCGCGCATTCCTTAATGATTTCAACCAAAACCTTGAATGAGTCATAGATAAGTGACAAAACAAAAAATAATATCTGTCACGCCCCATAAACGTCTCAAAGGCATCAAAACACCTGTCAATCACGTAAGTATCTCGCCTCCTCAAACGGAATTTCTCGCTAGTTCCTGCAAGAACAGTCCCTGAGGACTCTAGAAAGTGAACTTGGCGCTGCCTACGAAGCGGAAAGGAGCCTAAAACGACCTAAACTTTAAGATGATGTCACCTGTTGGAGGAGTCGATGTTTACGTCCAGACCAGCTGATCGTCGCACACCTGGCGACGGAATCGGAAACTAATCCGGGCGCGTTCGGTTTGAGCTCCGATGAAGTGCTCGTCCGTCCCCTGCGAGGGATGTGATTGGTCAGTTGGGAGGGAGGCTCGCGTCTCAACCAATCAGAGACTTCGAGCCTTCAGCGTGAGTTCAATTCGCCGAGTAAGCGAACGCGCTCGCCAGTGGTACCATACGTGCTGGAGAATTTAGTTGTAAAGGTACGGTCTGGCTATTATCTGAGGCACTAAACTATATACTGATATTGTGTCATCTGCTCGTAATTACATAGCGCATAAGGTGATGTATGCTAGTTACATTCAGTAAAAGAAGAAACATGATAAAATTGACATGATGTTATCTGGGAACAGTAAAACGTTTTCAGAACTGAGAAATCGAATATAGTGTTACAATGTTAATTACAGTGACGTATTTTATAGGTGTTTTTATATTTTAAATAAATGGGGGAAATAGTTTCGTTTTAGTGTAATTTGAATAAGCAATTATAACAGCGAACATACAAATACCAACCTTACCATGTAATAACTAAGAAAACAATACATTCTGAAAAGAATATCACAAGTACCCGCCACAAACCAATGATAACTTTTATAAAATTGATGAAAAAAATATTAAATTCCAAGATCGTCCCCCAAACTCCCCCAAAGCCCACTGAAGTGGTAGTAATATTGACAAAAACAGGCGTGAGTGGTAGCATTGAATTCAAAACAATTCAAGATGGCCAGCGTTTGTTCCGGGTGTGAATGCAACTATTTCGAGTTCATTCAGAAATTCTACAAAAACAACGAAGCCGCCATAGCGTATTTACGAGATCATGGAGTGTTGCCATTGGAGGTCATCTGCCCCCGCTGCAAGAGCACGTGTCATTACCGAGAAGACAGACACACTTGGTATTGCGGCGCCTGGACGAAGATCCCTAAGACCAAGAGGAGGAGACAGTGCTACTACAGCGCAAGTGATTTTAAAGGCTCCTTCATCTCTGGTGCCAGAATCGAGCCGTACAAGATCGTTTGTTTCGTTAATCACTGGCTGAGCAAGCAGTGGGATAATGAGATCGTGAAGCAGTGTCTGGGCCTTTCGAATGTCACCAGGATAACATGGCAGACGAATTGCGCTGAGGTGACCGAGCATTGGCTGGATAATCAGGAGCCCATTGGTGGGCCAGGCGTTGTGGTGGACATAGACGAGACCTTGTTTGGGAAGATGAAGCACGAGGAGGGCAAGTCGCAGAGCCAGATTTGGGTGTTTGGTGGCATTGAGCGCGATAGCAAGAACTACTTCATTTCCCCGCTTGAAGAACCATTAACTGAGAATCTGATGTCATTGATCCTGAAATATATTCTCCCAGGAACTGTCATTGTGAGTAACAGGTGGAATGCGTACAGTGCCATTAGTGACCATGATTACGTTCATCAGGTGATAAACCACTCAGGGGACTTCGTGGACAAGGAAAACGCCAAAGCCCACACTCAGAGTGTTGAACTATTGTTTCATGATGTCAAGGAATGGACCATGAAACCTGGCAGTCGCCCACACTTTTACAAACATTATTTAGCTCGGCTCCTATTTCAGCAGCAGCACACCCATAGCAGCATCAATCACTACTTCTTCCGTGAGGCTGCAAGAATGTACCCACCAGACTTTGAAACAGAAGAGCCATCTCCTACTTCAGATGTAGATGTCAAGGAGGAATCCAATGATCATGAGAGCCAGGAATCCGAAGTGTCAGATTAAGGTAAAATTTCTTGCTTAGTAAATTGTAAAGGGTCAGTATATTGGCTTTCAAAACCTCTTTTGAGTCAACCCTTAAATTATAATATATCTGAAGGGTCCTAGGCTGGAGACCTTACAGGCACAGGCAAGATTTGTTCAAGATTCATGACTTGTGTATTTGAATTTATAGTTTGCCCAGAAATGCAGGGATTGTAATTGGTAAATTTATGGTAAAAGGCGTCACCAACATTTCTCAGGAAGAAACTAGCTTTGTCTGAGTTCTGTTATTTAGATTGGGTTGATTCTGGTGTTCAATTCCATCAGAAATGACTAGAATGTCTTTTCCAGACCAGAATCATGCCATATTTTTTATCATGCATGTGCAGTATGAAATTCTCAATCTCTACTGTAATCATGGTACCGATTAAGTCACTATAGTGTCTAATGCAGGGGGCTGGACCCCTGCAACCTTCCCATGGGGGGCTGCTATCCCCCAACTCCCACCCAGGAAAACAGAATTGTCCACATATTCACAGCAGGAGAGAGCATTAGACAGACTTGGCATCAGGTGCTTCCACATGCCGTTCATATGTACGTAAAGCACCGTACATCTAGTCGCTTCAGTGAAAATAAACCTTCCAACATACCTATGTAGAGGAGGGACCGGGGTGAAGGTTGCCAATATCAATGGAGTGGCTTGCAGGAGCAAAAGCATCACAGAGGTCTGCGTGAGTACGAGCGAAAGCTGGTCGCAAAGCACTTGTGAGGGTAGCACTCCTTGTTCACGTAATAGTTTCAAGCTTGCCTCGTCTCCAAAATAATTTTTTATAACTGAATGGTTTGCTACGATACCTACATACATGGAAGCCATAGTGAGACTAATTTGAAAATTGAATTTTATAGCTTCTGTTTTAGCTAATGTTCACTCATTGGCTGTTTCCATGTGCCTTGTTTCCCCATTGGCCATTAAATTAACTGCCAAACAATTGGCCAATGAAATCGTGACACAGACTGTGACGTCACATGTAAGATAACAGGAATAGTATGGGTATGAGAGACCCCGCGCATGCGCAGTGGAGAATTTGGTCTGTATTACCTCAGTGATCATGTGAACTTCATTTCCTTTTAATATTATTTTTATTTATTTTGATGATTAAATAACTTCGTTATTATTCATTTGTGAGACAATTTCATTTAATGAAAATTGATCATTAGTTAAATATCATGAAGGCTGTATGGTCAGTTTTTATCAGTTCTTTGGTGATGCCTTTTTCCAATAATACCTATTGTTTTGTATTGTATTAGTGATGGGTGATACATTATTTATACAACATTTCTTCACTAATTAAGTGAGTTTTCATTGCTGGCACAACACAGTATGGTTATTTTTATTGATCAATCCACGCAGTAAACAGGCACTTCAAGAACTTTGCACAGCTAACAAATAAGAAAGGGAGAATTGTATGGTTAAAACAGAAAAGCACAAAGTTTCCAGTCTGGGGAGTGTCCGAGGGGTTAACCACTTTAACTTCAAAATTGGAGATTCAGATCATTAATCCCACAACTATAGAGTTGAGTAAGATTATACTACTGTTAACCAGACGATGTTTGGGATTTCAGGCATATGGGGGGGATGTACAACCACATAGAAAACTATTGTTAGGAGGGGTGTCGGAACATTCAATAGGAAAAGAAACGTATTTTGGGTTTAGAATCCTCCCAATACCATGCTTGTTGTCGTAGGGGGGCTTTGGAGCTGGAGACTGAGGATCACCTCTACCTTGGGCCTCAGCCCTCACCTCAACTAATTTTGCTTGGTCTTCTCTTCTCCTCTTTTCCTCTTCTGTATCTTCTTCATCCCCTTCTGTCCCATTCCTAAGGTGTGAGAGCCATGCTGAAAGGATAAAAGGCTGGCCCTATGTCAGGCATGAACAGCCTCCAGGAGCCATGGGCACTGTATTCCTTTGGTTAATTGCCTAGCCCTTACCCCTTATGGGAACCCAGAGGGGCAGACCGTTTCTTTTCCCGATTTTATTCAGGCTTACCATGGCCAATAATAAAGATTCTTTACTCTCAACACGGGTATTTAGGGTTACCCCTTCAACAGTTAGCCTATCTGAATTCAATTCTGATGGTTTTTCAAGCCCTGCCTCTCCTTTGACCACAGCTTTGACCCTCTCTTCAATGTTTACCGAGAACCCTATCCATTCTGAACCACCCCCCCATTTTATTACTCAACCTCCAGAATGCACCCCTTCCTCTCTCCCAACATTCTCTTCTTTATATCGTACTGCACAGTCTTCTTCAAAGTCTATCCCCTCTCTCCTTTATTACTTCTCTTCATCCTTATTGTCCTTCCCTCCTCAGGACTACTCCACTTCACACCACTCCTCTCTCTTGCCCTCATCCTTCTACTGCCTCTGCAAACCTTTTGAGTACTCTCTTAGGGCCAGCCAAGTGGGATCGATTCTTTGTTATTCCCCCCATAGCCCCCTACTCTTGAGAATACCCTTCTCTTTTAAGAAGTGCCTCCAAAAACATGTAGGCAAAGTTACCCTTTGCAGTTGCACCAATCATTCACACCCAGTCACAGTCACATCTGAATCCCAAGCTTGTGCCCTGACTGACCTTGCTTGCAAATTCATTTCTGCTGAACCTCACCCCTCTCCTAATACTTTTACTGGTATTGTTTATATTCCTCCAACTGATTGTCCCATATATGTCAAGAACTGAACAGATTGTGAAAATGCCTGCCTATCTGATTATGATGCTGTGGCAGTATAATGCTACATTATTCCTCCCAGAGACCAGCCTAAGTCCATGTCAATATTGCCAAGATTAGTGTTTCTGTGCCTTTTCAGTGTCATTCACAATATATAATTCCAAGTAGAGACAGAGACTAGAGCCCAGTGTAGGGATTGCCGCTACCTTGGATTTCAGCCTTCTCCTCAATTAATCTTGTTTGGTCTTTTATTCCCCTTTCCTCTTACGTATCTTCTTCCCCTTCTGTCCCATTCCTAAGGTGTGCGAGCCATGGGCACAGTATTCCCTTGGTTAATTGCCTAGCCCTTACCCCATATGGGGATCCGGAGACACAGACCATTTCTTTTCCCAATTTTATTCAGGCATACCATGGGGAATGATAAGGATTCTTTACCCGTAATAGGGATATTAAGGATTACCCCTTCATCAACTAGCCTATCTGATTCTGATTTTGATGGTTTTCTGACTTCTGCTCCTCCTTTGACCACTGCTCTGACCACTGATACTAATACCATATCCTCAGCGTTTACTGACATCTCTATCCATTCTGAACCACCCACCCAGGTTATTACTCAACCTCCAGAATGCACCCCTTCCTCTCTCCCAACATTCTGTCTTCCATATCCTAATGCACAGTCTTCTTCAAAGACTGTGCATCCTCACAAGATGTTTCTACACCTCCCCCAGTATCTCATCCCTATAATCTGAACCATCCTACCTCTACTTGCCCTATCCCCAGTCAAATTCCTTTTTCATTCCGATACCTACCCCTCCTCACTCTACTTGTCGTACCAGGCAACCCATATGATCCACTCCACCCTCTCCTACCACAGCCTCTCCTACACCTTCCTCTTCTTCTGCCCCTCAGATATCTATCCCCTCTTCTTCTCAGAAGAGAACCATTGTTTCTCAGTCCTCTTCACCCAATTTCCTCTAGAAACTTTTGAAGACATCCTAAACTTCCAAAAGATGACCTAAGGGAACACTTAGCTCCCTCATCCACCCTTCAGTCCCTTTTGTTTCTACTACATTTAAAGTAATTGCAGATGTCCATCCTCCTCAAGTTCCCCCACCCCCCCTTCTTTCTACATCCTCTCTACCTGAATACTCACAAGAATCCTTTCTGTCACAACAGACTCCTCCAGACATTCTTTGTGATACTTCCTTCCCCAGTTCCCTTTTCTCATCCCCCAGATTCTTCTCATTCTACTTCTCCGACAGCCATCTCTGTTTTCCTTGAACAATGTCCCTATTCCTTTCCCAGTCATATACACTTCAGTTCACACAATCACTCTTCCCCCTTAACCCTTCTTATTTTACTGATCTCTGCTCTACTTCATTTACTTCCCTTTTATCCCTTTACACTATCATACTATCCTATAATGCTCTCTAATCTTTGACATCCAATCCCCCCCCCCCCCTCTCCCTGGATTTTCTCCTACTTTTCCAACAGCTATCCCTGTTTTCCTTGAACATTGTTCCTATTCCTTCTCCAGTGACAGATACACAGCAATTCACTCAATCGCCGTACCCCCTTAACCCTCCCCTTTCTACTAATCTCTGCTCTGCTTCACTTGCTCCCCTCTTTTCCATTTTCATCACCAAATTATCCTATAGCATTCTCTAATCTTTGACATTTAACACATTGTATGTAATTCTTTAACTCTTCTTTACCCTTTCAACAAAATACTTTATCATAGTGCTGTATGACCTTTGGTGTCTAGCATTTATTTGTTTCAAACATTAAACACTAAACATTGGGTTTCAAACTTGTCTTATTCTGATTCATGTCTTGAATAGTCATTCCGAACTTTATATGGATTCACTGTGAGATGATTTGGACAATATGCAGTACAAGATTGTGGCGGAGTTGGGTAATAAAACATATATGAAATGATAGATTGTTACAAACCAAGACAATTTATTCTATGGTATTATTTGTGCAGAGTCTTCCTAAAGGTGCTATATGTGCAGGGTGCAGAGCTACATCACAGACCCTCACCCTTTGAAAGCTCTAGGAAACTTTTTGTCAATATTAATACTTCCTCTTCAAAAATCTTAGCTCTGTCCCAAATGCATGGTGCATTAGAATTAGGCGATGGATTAGTTGACCATTAAAAGATTTAATGTGATTTTAGTCATTTTGATTTCCCTGTACATTTTTTCTAATTAATGCTAATGTTTCTTTTGTTATGAGAAGGATTTCCTAAAGACTGTCCTCCTTAATAAATTTACATTCATGCTTGCTTTTTGTCTAATGAAACACAGTGTATTGGTGGTCTTTCCAACTTCTGTATTATCAATATTTATGAATGTTTAGATAGCACAGTATCTGTTACAATACTCAAGTATAAATGACAGTAGTTGTAGGTTAGAATTTCAGAATCTTGTTATCTAAATCAATATTTGTTGCAGATGGAGGAAATGCAAGAAACGCAGACTGAGGAAAAGGCAACTCGGCAAGAGTGTCGAGCAGAGTTACGTGAAAGATTCCTATGGGCCATTACTTCCTTGGTAGGGAAGGAAGCAACTATCAATATGCATGAAAAGACACATGCAAGTGGAATATTCCGTGGTATCGATAAGGACATTCTGAGTATGCAGATTCAGGATTTGAAAACCCCTTGCATTGTCTACCCGCGGGCAATGATACGTGTACCTGACTGCATGACATTGCATTTCAAGTTATAGCACTTGTTATTGGCCCTTTACCTGCTAGTTAGATATATATATATATATGTATTTGTTATATATATTTTTTATTAAAAGATGAAGAAGTTTAGTTTAATTCATTATCCCTATAAGTTATGTCTGAAGATAATGAAAAAAATGAATCTATATATATACATATATTTTCTCTTTCATACATGAAGTTACACAATAACTTTTAAATTACATTAAATAACCAATTTACACTCATAGTTATAAAGAAAATTATGTACTCAACATTTGTCTCAATTACCAGGCCTCAGAAAGAATCCTTCTTAAAGAATGTATTACATAACCCAGACGAAAATGGAATCTGCTAGCACTGTTTTGCCATTACAAAGTCCAAACATAACAAAGTAATAAAATGAGCTAAAATTAGATGAACCAACAACAATTACCAGAATTATTCCCTCTTGCAATCTTAATTTGAAATGGCCTGCTTGGTGGCTTCAAAGTCAGCCATGCGTTCTTCAATCACTGATCCGAAGTGATGGATCAGGCCCTGCACTGGGTGTTGAGGAACCACCTGGGATATTGTCAAGTAAGTTATCTCAGCCTTCAGTGACACCACCAGCATGGAGCTTAATCATTTCCCTCAGATTAACAGATGTTTCTTCTTCAATGGTCCAAGGATGGTTGACGTGGCCTGAGATGTTGAAGAGTACGGTTTCACAGTTACGAGTGTGTCCCAACCCAGCGAACCAACTTCCACCACCGCAACAGATAGTCTGTTGAAAAGAGAAAGGTTATTGAATTTTTTTTCTTTTTCATCAAGCTTTCTCTCCATTTCCTTACTTTAATACATGAATACAAGGAAATCAATAAATGATAAAAATTGCCATTAACTCCACCAATGTTTGCTGCAGAATGTGTGAAGAATCCTCTTCACCATAATTGTGGAAGAAATGAATATATATATAAATACATTTATTGCTTTATATGATGCAGTAGAATACACTGTATGTTATTTATACACTTAAAGCAATTCATCCATCTTTCATTCATATGAGTGGCAATTAAATTCCTGAAAAACATTGGCTTTTTTTATACATACCTAAAACCTGAAACCCTTCCATAGCTGGAATAATTCCCATTAGTATTGGTTTTAGCAAAAAGTTTGTAGCCTTTTCAGTGTCATTCACAATAGATAATTCCAAGTAGCAATATAACCTAATCACAAAAATGGGTAAAGGTGTAGAAGATAAACAATGATAAATTAATGAATCAAAATGAGTACACAAGTGTTTGTCAGGTTGACATAAGGGTACAGCTGTACACTTATGTCTAGTACAAGTGGCTTGCTCCACAATTCCCTCCCAATACCTTCCTCATTGTTGTCATGAGAGGGCTTAGGAGATGGAGACTGGAGCCCAGTATAGGGATTGCCCCTACCTTGGACTTCAGCCCTCGCCTCAACAAATCTTGCTTGGTCTTATCTTCTCCTTTCCTCTTACATATCTTCATCCCCTTCTGTCCTATTCCTAAGGTGTAAGAGCCGTGCTGAGAGGATGAAAGGCTGGCCATATGTCAAGAGGATGGTTAATTGCCTAGCTTTTACCCCTTATAGGGACCCAGAGGGACCATTTCTTTTCTTCATATTATTCAGGCTCTTCATGGTCAATAATAAAGAGTCTTTATCTGTAATAGGGACATTAAGGCTTACCCCTTCATCAACTAGCCTATCTTAATTCAATTTTGATGGTTTTTCGACCCCTGCCTCTCGTTTGACCACAGCTCCGACCACTGATACTAATACTTTCTCAATGTTTACTGACAACTCTATCCATTCTGAACCACCCACCCAGGTTATTACTCAACCTCTAGAATGCACCCCTTCCACTCTCCCAACATTCTCTTCTCCATATTCTTCTGCACAGTCTTCTTCAATGTCTACCCCCTCTTCCCTTATTCCTACTCTTCATCCTTATTGTCCTCCCCCCAACAGAACTACTCCACTCAACAGAAACTTTCTCTACACCACCCCATCTTCCTCTCACTCTTGTCCTTTTACTGTCTCTACCTCTTATCCTTTTACTGTCTCTACCTCTTTTCCTTTTACTGTCTCTAACTCCGTTTCTTTGAGATTCCTCCCACAGCCCACTACTCTCAACAGTGCCTCCAAAAACAAGTAAGCAAAGTTACTTTTCACAGTCACTCCAATCATCCACAACTTTTGTTGCAAAGGTGGGAAGAGACCCGTGCATTCCTTAATAATTTCAATCAAAACCTTGAATGAGTCGTAGATAAATGACCCACCCCAAAAAAAAATCTTTTGCCCCATAATGTCTCATTGGCATCAAAACACCTGTCAATCATTCACGTATTTCACCTTAAATAGTTTCTCGATACTTTCTGCAAGAACAGTCTCTAAGTACTCTAGAAAGTGAATTTAACATTGCCTTTGAAGCAGAAAGGAGCCTAAAACAACCTAACTTCAAGATGTCTTCTTTTTTTTTTTTTTAAGGGTTTTAGATGTTTTATGTCTATATTCCTCGGATCTTGTTTTCTGGTCTTCTTTCTGTTGTCTAAAGGTTTCTTGTATCTATTGATTTAATCTGATTCATATGATGTTTATTATTCTTGATCTTTGTAAGATCATGTGTCTAAGAGTAGTACTTCACAACTGGTGGATGATTGTCTCCTGTTGTAAGTAGAGAGATACTAGGATTAATTATTTTCATTTTTAATACCTGTAACAGTCTGGTATAATTGGAGTGAAAGGAGATTTTAGTGTTAGATGGTCTACTGTCTCTTCTGGATGTTGGCACCATCTGCAGCTTGGTTCAGTTTGTAATTTCAGTCTGTGTAGGCATTTTCTTAATCTTGTGATTCTTGTGAGACATACATCTTGTTTTCTGTTTTCTCATCTGGGCCATGGGTATGGGGTGTTATCCTTGACGTGATGGTTTCTGTGAGAGTTTTGTTTAACTGTTTTTCCCCTTGTCCTTTTCTTTTTTCTTTTATGTTTTTTATTATGTTGCTAGTATCTTAGGAATTCTCTTTTTGCTCCCCAGCTGTATGAGGATATATTTTTAATTATGTTTATTCTGTTTACAGATTTCACTTTGATGTTTGATGTATGTTTAATCTATTTTACTTTTGGAACATTGAATCTTAGATCTAATATATCTTGACTTAGTGAATTCTAGTTCATTGTTGATTTAGATTTTTGGTAATTGTATTTTTCTTTTATTTGCTAAACAGTAATTTACTTTTGTTAGGTTTCTTTTTAAATCCCAAGTGTCTGCCCATTCTTTTTTCTATGAAGACTAATGTTTTTTTCTTTTAGAAAATTACATGTCCAGTTAAGTATATTTCCTTTGATTCCAAGATAAGTGATTTTTATTAGTAGTGCATTGTGGTTTACAGAGTCAAAGACTTTTTCTAAGTCTGTGCATATTACTAGGGATTTTTTTCTCACTTTTTTCTTTGATAGCATTTCCTGTTATGTGTATGTCTAGTTTATTTGTTTCTAGCCACCAGTTTAATCTTTTTCTTATTATATTTTCAAATATTTCCTAGGCAAGTTATTCTGCTGATGAATCTGTATGATTTTGATTCTGAAGGGTTTCTTCCTGGTTTTTGAATGGAGTTTATTATTGTGTTCTTAAAATCTTGTGTTTATTTTATAATTATGTCAATATTTTGGGGGGACAATTTTTGTAGAATTTATATGGAGTTTCATTAGGTCCATATGCTTTATTATTTTTTTTATTTGTTATTGCTGAAATGGATTCTTTTTCTGCAATCTTACTATTTATTTCAATATTTCTTGGGGTGTTTTGTTCTTCCCTTGCAGAATCTGACTTTCTTTTTAGGATGTTTGATGTTTTTGGTGTTCTTTGAATATTTTTAATTTGTTTATTTCTGTGACTGGTTAGTTGTTCTATATTAATGAATAGTTATTCTGTGTTGTCTTTCCTATTATTTATATATTTATTTATTTTATGAAGTTCCAGGTCTTTTTTAAATGAGGTTTTGAACTCTATTGTGAAACAGACTTTTTCTGGACTTTTTTCTTTCTCTATTATCTGTTTAGCTTTTGCTAATAGTTTTTTTATATTCTTTTTGATTTCTGTTTCATCAATGTTTTCCATTTATTATTGGATTTATTTCTCTCTAACAATTTCTTTGTCTTGCAATCCGAAAAGGTTTATTCAATTTGTCTTTTTTTCATATTCTTTAACCCATTGGCGCCGAGTGTCACATACGTACATGCCATGGCTGTTGTGGACCAAACGCCGGGGCATCATGTCGTTACCAATCCCACGCTACTGGCTCGTCGGACGGAGGTTGTTTTTCTCCAGTAGTAGCAGCTTCATTTATATGGTAAAGATATTAGGCAATGGCACCTAAAGTGAAGGTAAACCTTCAAAATTTTAATATTTTTATAAATTTTAGCAAAATAAAAGCTTTTAGGTGCTATATGTCGCTCGCAAACTACCGATCGAGCCAGGCGCAAACAGGGGAAACTGCCGGTGCGCGCCAACAAGCCGGTGCATACGTAAACTTGCCAAAATTTTTGCTCATCGCTGATGGGTTAAACTTAAAAAAAAAAAAATTTCCTGTAGCTTTTATAAGATCTGTCATTTTTTATGAGTGACTTTATATTTGTTGCAACTTTTATTTAGTTCCCTTTGGTAGTTCAGCCATCTTTCATTAGCAAAATTTATTTAATTATTATTTTTTTTAATTAATTGAGAAGATTATTGTGTGGTGTTGTCTTTTATTGTTATTGGTAAGTGATCACTTTATAAGTCAAGGATGTGTCCTATAGCAACACTTTTTGGTAATTGTCCCTTGAAAGTTATTCTGAGATTTCGTTGGAGCCCACTTTTATGTGCTTTCTTTAACACTGGATATTTTATCTATTCTAATGATTTTATTATACCATTGGTTTAATTTTGTCCTTCAGATCTTTGGGGTCTAGCTCTATTTCAGTTGGATAAAATGTGCTATATGTGCAATCAATGTTTATGTTTGAGGCCCATTGCTTGCATTTTATGTTCCATTCTCCAAGTTTGCCTGTTAATTTCACGCCAACATATTTGACATTGACGAGGAAGGGGTTGATACTGTCAGACATGATAAGACAATCCACCATTATAAACCTCATGGGGGAGGTCTTGTCTGTGGAAGCTAATCTTGGCAATATTGATGTGGGATTTACGTTGGCCATGGGACAAGCATTTGGCAGAATAGAAACAATTACAGCACAAGCATTAACTCTTGGGCTTCAGATGTAACCATGATAAGGCGTGAACGATCAGAGCAGCTGCAAAGGGTAACCTTGCCTACTTGTTTCTGGAGGCCCTGCTGAAAGAGAAGGGTATTCTCAGAATAGTGGGCTGTGGGGGGAATCACAAAAAATAGATCTCATTTGGTTGAGCCAAATAGAGTACTCAGAAGGTTTGCAGAGGTAGAGGTAGTAGAAGGACTAGGGAGAGAGGAAGATGGGGTGGTGTGGTGTGGAGTAGTACTGCAGGGGGGGGGGGGTGAAGAGTAGTTATAAGGGGACGTTGACATTGAAGAGGGTTGTGCAGCAGGGGATGAAGAGGAGAATGTTGGGGATGAGGAAGAGGTGTTTTCTAGTGGTTGAGTAATAACCTGGGTGGGTGTTTCAGAACGGTTAGAGTTGTTCATGTGTCGAAGAGGGGGTATTAGCATCAGTGGTTGGATCGTGGTCAAAGGAAGGGCAGGGGTCGGAAAACCATCAATATCAAATTCAGATAGGCTCTTTGATGAAGGGGCAAGCCTTAATGCCTCTATTAAGGGTAAAGATTCTTTATTACAGGCCATGGTGAGCCTGAACAAACTGGGGAAAAGAAACGGTTTACCCCTTAGGGTTCCCATAAGGGGTAATTAACCAAGGGAATACCGTGCCCATGGCTCCTGGAGGCTATTTGTGACAGACACAAAGCCAGCCTTTCATCCTCCCAGCACGGCTCTCACACTTTAGAAACAGGATAGAAGGGAACAAAGAAGATACAGAGGAGGAAAGAAGAGAAAAAAGGACCAAGCAAAATTAGCTGACGCAAAGGCTGAGGCCCAAGGTAGGGATAATCCTCTACATTAGCTCTCAGTCCCCGTCCCCTAAGCCCTCCCACGACAACAACGAGCTAAGTTTTGGGAGGGCTTGCCCTCCTGAGAAGCTGAGTGATCAGGACAAGATGACATCTTGATGACTTTGGTATGTAAACATTGACAGTTGCAGGCTAGTTATCTGGACGAGCAAGACGAAGAGTTCCGAACGCAGCACTTTTGTTTTGACTTCGGTCCATTGCCAATTCCGCATTTCCTATTTACCAAAAAGTGTGGGGGCAGATTTATGTGGGCTAGTAAGTGTAGGATAGATTGATAATGGACGGCCGTTTCCCTTGGAAAGTAATTTTGTTGGAATCCATTTTTCATTACCATTTTCCTTATATTCTCATTATTTCAGTAATGTTTGAATTCAGTATACCAGGATCTTCCCCTGCATCTATTTGAGTGCTTTCCATTTGGATATTCAATGGCACTGTTTACTCTAATAAGGTGTTTATGCATGAAGACGCTCCTCCAGAGAACCTGCTCAGCTGTTGATGTTTACGTTTCGAACAGCTGATCGCACACCTGGCGGCGGAAGCGAAAACTACGCGCTGAGCAGTGGTACCATACGCGGTGGAGGATTTTGTTACAAAGGTACGGTCTGGCTAATATCTGAGGCACTAAACTATATACTGATATTGTGTCATCTGCTCGTAATTACATAGCGCATAAGGTGATGTACGCTAGTGAACTTAAGTAAAAGAAGAAACATTTTCATTGACATGTTATCTGGGAACAGTAAAACATTTTCAGAACTGTGAGAAATCGAATATAGTGTTTTACTGTGTTAATTACAGTGACAACTTTAGAAGATGTCTTCAGCTCTAAAATAAAGGAGTATGAATAGTTTCACTTTGGTATAATTTGAGTAAGCAACTAAGCAAACATACGAATACCAACCTTACCATGTAATAACTTACAGAACAATACATTCTGAAAAGAAATCACTAGTATCTGCCACAAATTAATGATAACTTTTATAAAATTGGAAAAAAAAAATCCCAGATCGTCCCCCAAACTCCCCCAAAGCCCACTGAAGTGGTAGTAATAGTGACAAAAACAGGCGTGAGTGGTAGCATTGAATTCAAAACAATTCAAGATGGCCAGAGTTTGTTCCGGGTGTGAATGTAACTATTTCGAGTTCATTCAGAAATTCTACAAAAACAACGAAGCCGCCATAGCGTATTTACGAGATCATGGAGCGTTGCCTTTGGAGGTCATCTGCCCTAACTGCAAGAACATTTGTCGTTACCGAGCAGAGACTCACAGTTGGTACTGCGGTGCCACTAGGAAGATTCACCACAGGAAGAAGCGGTGTCACTATAAAGTGAGTGACTATAAAGGGTCTCTCCTCTCTGGTGTCAAAATGGAGCCGTACAAGGTCATTTGTTTCGCTAACCACTGGCTGAGCAAGCAATGGGATTATGAGACCTTGAAGCAGTGCCTTGGCTTGTCGGAGGCCACGGGGTCGGTATGGCAGAGGTATTTCGCTGAGGTGACTGAGCACTGGGTGGATAATCAGGAGCCGATTGGTGGGCCAGGCGTTGTGGTGGACATAGACGAGACCTTGTTTGGGAAGATGAAGCACGAGGAGGGCAAGTCGCAGAGCCAGATTTGGGTGTTTGGTGGCATTGAGCGCGATAGCAAGAACTACTTCATTGCCCCTCTTGAAGAACCATTAACTGAGAATCTGATGTCATTGATCTTGAAATATATTCTCCCAGGAACTGTCATTGTAAGTAACAGGTGGAATGCGTACAGTCCCATTAGTGACCATGATTACGTTCATCAGGTGATAAACCACTCAGGGGACGTCACGGACAAGGAAAATGCTAAAGCCCACACTCAGAGTGTTGAACTATTGTTTCGTGACGTCCAGGAATGGACCGTGAAACCTGGCAATCGGCCACAGTTTTACAAACAGTATTTGGCTCGGCTCCTATTTCAGCAGCAGCACACCCACAGTAACATCAACCACTACTTCTTCCGTGAGGTTGCAAGAATGTACCCTCCAGACTTTGAAACAGAAGATGCAGATGTCAAGGAGGAATCCAATGATCATGAGAACCAGGAATCTGAAGTGTCAGATTAAGGTAACATTTCTTGCTTAGTAAGATGCGGTAAAGGTTTAAGAGAGCAATGTGCATAGTTGGAGGGAAATAGACACCTCGATCTTATAGAGTGGAAGAAATAGAGTAGGATAGAACAGAGTTTAAGCTGCAGCAGCCATATTCTATGACAGATTTTATATAAATGTTAAAGAACTTTATCAAAGTCTCTCTATTTGCTCCCCATTTTAGGGATGCTTTTTTTTTTTTTTTTTTTCATTCTATTCATTGATTTTGTTTTTGTGTGTTCAATATGTTTTCTCGATGTTATTTTCGGAGCATCAAATATCATTCGTAGGATCATATGGTATTTTATTTCTTCATCACTTTTTTTTATTCTTGGGTTTTGTTTAATTGTTTTGTTTGTGAAGCACTTTACTCCACATTTAGTTCAATTTATTTTAAGATTCCATTTTTCTGCCCATTCTTTTATTTTGTGTGGGCTATGTTCAAGATTATTTACTGCTTCTACTAGGTTCTCATTTGTTTTTATAAGAGTTATGTCATTTGGGGATCCTTGTGGGACTCCATTCAGTAATTTCCCAATAGTAGATCTTTGTTTGCCAATTTGGATTTGGAAAGTTCTATTCATTTAGAAAATTATTTATCCATCTTATTACTCTACCTCCTAAGCTTATGTTTTTTGCTTTTATCAAGATGGTATCTTGATTAGCCGAGTCAAAGGCTTTTTCTATCTCTAGACATTTTACTAGAGCATATTTTTTTTCTTTAATAGCTTGTCTTATTATTTCAATTATTTGTATTGCATCTGTTGTGTTACAATTGGGCCTAAATCCTATTAGGTCTTCGTCTAGTTTATTTTTTTCTAACCACCAATTTACTCTTCTTGCTGTAATGTCTCGAAAAGTTTGCCAATCGATGGTGTTCTACTAATACATCTATACGAGTTGATTTTAGCTGGATCTTTTCTTGGTTTGTATATTGGGTTAACTATTGCTATTTTCATTTGTGGATATTCACCTAGTTCCCAATATTTAGTTTTTTTAAGATAATTTCTACTATATTTTGCGGGGTATTTTTTGTAGAATCCGTATGTGATGTAATCTGGCCCATATGCCTTTTTTTTTTTTTTTTTATAGCATATGCTAATTCTAGCATTATATCTTTGTTTTATATCACCTTGGTTGTTACTGTTTAGTATTTCTTTTTCTATTCTTGTTAGTAGTTTTTCTGCTTGTTTACTTGTTATATTTTCGTAATCTTCTTTAGATATTTACAGTTTTTTATATTTGGATCACTGGAAAGTTTACTTTGCTTTTTTTTTTTGGTCTCTCTGGCTCTCTCTTCTCTTCTCTTCGGTTTTACTTCTTTCTCTCTCTCTCTCTCTCTCTCTCTCTCTCTCTCTCTCTCTCTCTCTTTTCTTTTTCTTTTTTCTTTTCTTTTCTTTTTCTTCCTATTCTCTGTGCTTAGTCATTTTCTCCATTTGTTATAAGCTTTGTTTCTTTTTCTTATTACTTCATTGCATTTGTTATTCCACCAAGGTTTGTTAGACTTATTATTTATTTTTTTAGGTTCAAATCTGAAATGTTTTTCTCTAGTGTTTTTTATCAGTTCTAGAAGTATTTCTAACATTTCTATGTATCTAGACCATCCTTCTTCTGTGAATTTCCACTTTCTTTCTAAGTTTGTGGAATACGTTTGGTAATTCTCCTCTTTTATAAATACTGGAAGGTGATTGCTAGCTAAGTGTGGGCCTGTTATAATTTCTAAATGATCTACTGTTGGTGATCCCAAAACTAGGTTTAATGTAGCTTCTTTATTTGTTACTGGGTCAATTCTAGTTATTTGTCCTTTAGGTGTTAATAGCAGAATATTATTTTGATTTATTAATTTAACCAAATCTTTTCCTGTTATGTTACTTTATTTATTGTTGTTTTGTGTTCCAATTGGGTTGATACAAATTAAAGTGTCCTGTAATTAACTTTGGGTCTTGTAATTGGTCATAGTATTATTGAAATTGTTTTCCTGTTATTTTATTACATGGATTGTATTATAATATAATATTTAGCCACTTTTCTTTGTACTGTATTTTAACTCCTAGGATTTCAATCCTACGTTCATACATATCATTTAGAATTTAGTTCCCTAAATTGTATTTCTTTTCTGATTCCTAAGCTTAGCCCTCCACTAATTTGATTTTTTTCTGTCTTTTCTAATTATATTATAATTATCTATCTTAAATCTATCTTTTTCATCAATGTCAGAAATGTTGGTGTTTTGGCCACCCAGCCAAACACTGTCACTCCACAGCCCGCCACCCTCCATGTGCTCAACCTGGTCATGACAGTTCAAATTGCCCTGCTCAGTCTTGTACATGTGCCAGCTGTGGAGGCTCACATAATGTATTTTATAGAAGGTTTCTATTGATGTGAGAAGGATTTCCTAAAGATTGTCTTCCTTAATAGATTTTCATTCGTGCTTGCTTTTTGTCGAATGAATTACAGTATTGGTGGTCTATTCAGGTTGTGTGTATTTTCAAGATTTATAATTGTTTAGATAGCATAATATCTGTTACAATACTCTTCAGGTATAATGCCAGTAGTTGCAAGTAAAATTTCAGAATCTTGTTATCTATATCAGTATTTGTTGCAGATGGAGGAAATGCAAGGAACACAGACTGAGGAAAAGGCAACTCAGCAAGACTGTCGAGCAGACTTACGAGAGAGATTCCTGTGGGCCATTACTTCCTTGGTAGGGAAGGAAGCAACTATCAATATGCATGAAAAGACACGTGCAAGTGGGATATTCCGTGGTATCGATAAGGACATTCTGAGTATGCAGATTCAGGATTTGAAAACCCCTTGCATTGTCTACCCGCGGGCAATGATACGTGTACCTGACTGCATGACATTGCATTTCAAGTTATAGCACTTGTTATTGGCCCTTTACCTGCTAGTTAGATATATATATATATATGTATTTGTTATATATATTTTTTATTAAAAGATGAAGTTTAGTTTAATTAATTATCCCAATAAGTTGTGGTTGAAGATAATGAAAAATCTCAATCTATTTATATACATATATTTTCTCTTTCATACATGAAGTTACAGAGTAACCTCTAAATTACATGAAATAACCAATTTACACTCATAGTTATAAAATGATGTACTCAACACATGTCACAATTACCAGGCCTTACAAAGTTTTTTTCTTAAAGAATGCATTACATAATCCAAACCAAAATAGAATCTGCCAGCACTGTTTTGCCATTACAAAGTCCAAACATAAAGTAATGAAATAAGTTGAAGTTAGATGAACCAACAACAATTATGAAATACAGAATTTAAAGACATGCTCTTTATGCAAAAAAGCATCTATTTTCATAGCATGTTCATATTTTGATTACTGAATTACTAACCACGCTAGAAATACAAAACATCCTATAATTTGAGTGGGTGACATGTAACAGTTTATCAGTTATATAACATTCTGTATGAAGTTCCTTTCAGACAAAGAGCAACACTGACTAATGTTTTCATATTTATTTCTTTACTTTGTAGCTTTTATCTCATTTTTATGTGTAATTAATTTCTGCAATGTAGCAACACAGTCCCATATAAAATGAATAGGATTTTGCAGTAAGAGAAAACTGTTAAGAAGTTATTGAAAAGGAAACAAGCTCATGTAAGTGTATGCTTTGTACTTGTAGATCTTGGTATATGGTATAATAGGGAATTTAGAAGTTATAAGAAAAAAAAGAACCACACAAAGGCCACACTAAAACCCCCCTGCAAGGACAGGAGCTCTATATGCAGCAAGGGTGGCTGCTAGATACCAACTTTTAACATAGTTACCCAAACAAACTCCTACTTTCCATGATTAATTCCTCCTTCAAATGTCACTGCCTTGAATTTGAATTGGGGTAAGTGAATGCCAACAAAATTAATAATTTACTTCCATCCATTTCTGCAGAGATCTAATCAAACAAGCTTTATTGTTTATAATAGCACCTTTTACTGTAGTTACTTTCCTGGATTTTACTTTCCTCTTTGCATTGTCTCTTTGAAATACCACTGATAGCCTTGATACCATACAAAAACAAAAATCTCATGTAAATAGTCTAAGGCATCCATAGATATCAACAGTGTTTGTGTCTTATTGTATTGACAAACTATATCTGAATGTACAGCCTAACCAGGAATGCCTAAATATCTACTTACACCGATATACAAGACCATAAAACCTGTAGCAACTTGACCAGGTCTCTACATCTTTCAACAATAACAAAGAGCTTATCAGAAATCTACCAAATTTATTTATTATTTTACACCATAAAATGCCTTCACATGAGCAAAACCCATGAGAAACATGAAGGAACATTTTCCCATTTAAGAAGCACAATAATCTTGACACATTTTCTCAATATGTTCATATTTTCATTTTATTGCAGGTCCTATTTTTAAAATGTATTTACACTTTCTGATCCATTTTGCTTTCCCTGAGACATGTATGATTTAGACACTAGTAATTGTAACACAAGGGTGGTGTTCACTGCCTTTGCTCAGACTGTGGTTGCAAAGTATTTGTATGAAACTGTTAGATGTTAGTACAGACTCCATAAAGGAAAAGCAATAAACACAAGGTTAAACTGAAGGTTAACCTTTGTACCTTATTTTTACTATTCTAGATTCTGTTTTTAGATACTGTGAATCTGGTAGATTTTTTCTTTGGGTTTTCCTGTGAGAGTTCTCATTCAATAAGATTACAAATCTATATATCTTGATCACTTATTGAAATGTTCTAAGCTTTTCTATCATATTCAATATCAAAACCACATATATTCACTTCCTTGTATACATATTCATTCTTTAAAACTTATTCATATATTTCTTGGACACAGAAATTCAAATATACGTGACCAAAGAAGACAATATCAATTAATGATCGAGACCCTGTAACCTTGAAGGTTAATGGAATGCAAGATCTCGCAAATATTTCAAGATATGTTAGTATTTCTGAAACATCTGCAATGTACACAAGATAGGAGGAGACCCATACATTCCTTAATAATTTCAACTAAAAACTTGAAGGAGCCATACATCAATGACCAAAAGAAAGAAAGAAGAAAAAAAAAAAAAATATCATTGGCATCAAAACACCTGCCAATCATCCACGTATTTCACCTCTTTAAACGGAGTTTCTTGCTACTTCCAGCAAGAACAGCCCCCAAAGACTCTAGAAAGTGAATCTAACAATGCCTATGAAGCGAAAAGGAGCCTAAAACAACACAAACTTCAAGATAATGTCCTTTTTCTTTTATAGGGTTCTAGATATTTTATGTCTATATTCCCTGGATCTTGTTTTCTGGTCTTCTTGTCTGAAGATTTTCTTGTATCTACTGAATTTCATGTTTTTTTTTTTTTTTTTTATCTTTGCAAGATCATAATGTCTAAGAATGTAGTACTTCTTAACTAGTGGAGGATTGTCTCGTGTTATAAGCAGGGAGATATTAGGATTAGTTCTTTTTATCTTTTTTTGATACCTCTAACAGTTTGGTTTTAATAGAGTGAAATCCAGGACATTGTAGTGTTAGATGTTTCTTGTCTCTTCCAAATGTTGGCACCATCTGCAGCTTGGTTCAGTTTCTAGTTTCAGTCTGTGTAAGTGTTTTCTTAATCTTGTGTTTTTTGTCAGGATTTTTGTGAGACAATTTTTGTAGAATTCATAGGGAATTTCATCAGATCCATATCCTTTATCATTTTTATTGCTGGGATTTTTTTTTATTTGTGTGTGTGTGTGATCTTATTATTTATTTCTATATTTCTTAGGGTGTTTAGGAGAACTTTTTTTCAGATCTTTTTTATTAGGGTGTTGAACCCTATTGTGGAACAGAATTTTTTTCAAGGCTTTTTTTCTTTCTCTATTATATATTTAGCTCATTTATTATAGGCTCTGTTTCTCTCTTTAACAATTTCTTTGCCTTTTGCCATGGCTTATTCAGTTTGGTCTTCTTTCTAATATTCTTCAAACTTAAAGTTTTTTTCCTGTAGCTTTTATAAGGTCTGTTATTTCTATGAGTGACTCTATTTTTGTTGCAACTGTTTTATTTAGTTCTCTTTGCTAGTTCAGCCATCCTTCATTAGTGCACTTCCTTTTTTTTCTTTTGAGGACTTTTTTGTGGCATCTCTTCCTATTATTGGTGAGTGATCACTTTCTAAGTCAGAGCTTGTCTATTTGTAGGTAGGTTTAGAGCAGAACCTAGAATTAAGTCTAATGTGCTCTCCTTTGCATTTCTAGGGTCTATTCTTGTCGTCTGTCTGGGGAAAGTTAACAGCATATTTTATTTGTATCATTTTAAATAGGCTTTTGCTTGTTTTGTTTATATACTTTAGGTTCAATTTTGGGTTCCAACTTGTATGGTGAGCATCAAAATCTCCTATTATTAGTTTTTGGGTCATTTATGTGGTCTATGTAGTATATTTTATTTTGAATAAGGTTATAAATTAGTAAAACATGCTGGCAATTGTTTTTGGGGTTAAGTTTTCATCCATTAATATGGTATTTGGAGGTCACCTTGCTCAATACCTAGTTTGGCAGTCTTTGTTATTATTGCTTTGTGATTTACTGAGTCAAAAGCCTCTTCTAAATCTAGGTAGGCTACCAAAGCATATTTCTTCTCATTTAATGTTCTATCAATTATTGATTCTATTATTTGGAGTACTTTTGTAGTTCATCTATTTGGTATAAAACCTGTTTGATCTTCATCTAACTTTTTACGTTTTTCTAGCTACCAACTGATTCTGTTAGTTATATTTTCATATATCTTTTCTAAGCATGAAATCCTACTTGGCAGGATTTGATATAAGGTGATCTAACATTAGCCCTCAAGAGGTTTTTATGGCACAAAAACCTCGTAGTTTGAGACCAATTGGTGGTTTTCACTGTTGGCTAGAAAAAATTGTGGTGATAGCGTTGCTGATATTAAGTTGTAATAGGTTTACAAGCTTGTGTGTTGGTCAGGAAAAAGCTAATCCTTCTTCCTCTGAGTTGAGAACATAAAATGATGAAATTTAGGTTCGGCTATTACTAGTCCATGAGGGCAAAATTCGGTGTTAGGTTAGACGCGGTATTCGCAGATTGTACCATTGGCACAAGGACTCTGTTGCAGATGTTTGAATTGCTCTTGCAGAACAAGGTGCTCTCAATCTGTGCCCCTATTTCAAGCAAAATTGATCGCTAAGAAATGGCTGAACCTTCCTTTTGTGTAACAAGCTCGTTAATATGGCCAGAAAGTGTGGCTAGTTTTATAATGTTCTAAATGTGCCAAAAGCAACTAACAAGTTGTTGACCACCAACAGGCACCCGGACTGTTTGGACCCTTGCTTCATGCAAGACGGGATAAGGGCGCTATAATCTTGAATAGACAAAGCTTATAAAGAAGGAATGGGTATTAGGGCAACTAAAGAGTTTGTTACAAAACATTACTTTGGTATAATTATGGTTGTTGCTGCCCTAACATTATCAGCGTTAGCGCTCGACATCGTTTTCCAGTCCATATTGAAGGTCATAGACTTTCATGGAATAATACAGTGAATCGTCTTCTTTTAATTTTTCATTAACCCGCTCTTCGAGATCATGCTTAATATAATAAGTGCAAGACCGAAGTTTTCCAAGAGTAGAAGTCCATCAGACTCCGAACAATGGCCACAAAACCTGGTGGGTATACCCGAGGATAAGGATAAGCTTCCCCTTCGTTGTTCCATCGTACTTCCTTGAGACTTGTCCTTCGATTTCCATACCCTCTGCACCATCTGTGGAGTCAATATTGTTTCAAATTGAGGCGGCTTATCATTCTTTGTGTGCCTTACAATACCCTCAGTATTGCGGATGTGATTGATTCCCAATTTCTCTCTCGCGATGTGATGAGGACGCGTGCACTCCATATCGGAACGGAGAAACGTGCCTGCAGCATGCTTCTGACTAGTCATTTGAGCCTGTGTTTTTCGAGTGCGA